CATCAATCACATACACACACACACACACACACCATACAGAAGGGCTGGGGATGTAACTCAGTGTAAAGGCCCTACATTCAATCCCCAGTACTGCCAACAAGCAAATAAATAAGCTAATTAATACAAAATAAAGGAAAATATACATATGTAGAAAAAAAGTGAGAGGAAATGTTTGAAGCACTTCTTTCCTGAGCTGAGCGTGGTGGCACACACCTGTAATCCCAGCACTTGGGAGGCTGAGGCAGGAGGACCACCACAAGTTCAAGGCCAGCCTGGGCCATGTAGTGAGTTCAAGGCTAGCCTGAATTACAGAGTGAGACTGTCTGTCCCCACCAAAAAACTTTCTTCTTCCTCCTCCTCTTTGTTTTTCTTCTGTGTATGTGTTTGACACCAGGGAATAAACCCGGGGCTTTCACAATGAGCTATATCCCTAGCCATTTTTTAAATTTTTGAAACAGGGTCTCACTAAATCACTAAGTTGCTCAAGCTGGGTTCAAATCTGTGATCCTCCTGCCTCAATCTCCCAGAGTGCTGGAATTACAGGTGTGTGCTGTCACAGCTGGTTTATTCTTCTTGGTGTTTTCGTATATTTTCTACATTTCCTGCAATGTATGTATCGTTTCTCCAATCAGAAAAAAAGCACTGTGAGAGCCAAGGGCATTTGGCTCTGGGCTCTTGGTAAAAGATGGTCTGGGTTAGTGGATTTGAGTAGGGCTCAAAAAGACAGGAAAATCTGAGCCAGGGAGGGGAGCCAGGAGAGGGGTTTATTGTTTCCTTGCTGTCTTTCTCCTCCTTAAGATTTCAGGGTCTTTGAGGGTAGAGTCTGTGGTCTAGCTTGCCCACTGCTATATCCTTTGCACGAGGTTGAGGGGACTGGCGCTTAGTAGGTGCTCAATCAGTATCAGTCTAGTGAATGTATAAATGACCTTGACAGCTCCACTTAGCCTGGGAGACAAGGATGCTCAGTTCACTATCCAGCTGGTGTACAGCCAAAACTGAGGTGCATGGTTTCTATGGCAACAGAAGAAAGTCCAACAGGCCAGCAGCATGAGGCAGACTTGGGGATTGTATTTTTTCAAGGTGTGGCCTAGAAATTAGAAACATGGTGCTAAGCTCTTTCAACAGATGAGGGAGAAAGAGCTTCACAAATATGGTTAACTCAGTTGTTTTTTTTTTTTTTTTTTGTACTGGGGATCGAACTTGGGTCTTTGCGCTTGCGCAGCAGGCGGCGAAACCACTGAGCTAAATCCCCAGCCCTTAACTCAGTTTTTTACTGGAGAGGTTTGTCAAATCAATCAATGAATGCTCAGGTAGGTAGTCCAGGTCTTTATAGGGTGTGTGGGATGAAAGCTGTTGGTGGGTGAAAGGCCAGGAAGTTAGGACAGTTTGGTTTTAGTCCAGACCCTGCTGTATGACCCTGGAAAAAACCACTTAAGGTCTCTGGCCTTAGCATCTTCTTCCTAACAGGGGAGGTTTGACCAGTTCTGAAATTAGTTACAGAAAGCCCTGCATGGTAGGAATGTAAATGGTATAATCACTATGAAAAATAATTTGGTGCTTCTCTGAAAAGTTAAACAGATTTATCATGTGACCTAGCATTTTATACCCCATAGAAATGGAAATAATCATACACTTTGAATAAATGTTCATAGTAGCACTATTCCTAGCAGCCAAAGACCATCAATAGATGAAACAGATAAAAGAGGTAGGTCCATACAAGGGAATATTATTCAGCCATAAAAACATGAAGTACTGATATATCTACAATGCAGATGAATCTTGAAAGCATTGTGCTAAGAGAAAGAAGTCAGATCCCAAAAGGCATATGTATAATTCTGTTTATATAAAATATCCAGAATATGTAAATCCCTAGAGACAGAAGGCAGCAGGGGGTGGAGGGGAAGGAGAATAAGGAGAGACCTTTTTTTTTTGGCTGGGCTGAGGACTGAACCAAAGGCCTCTTGCCTATTAGGCAAGGCTTCTACCACTGGACTACACCCTAGCCCAAGGAGTGACTTTTTAATGGATATAGTTTTCTTTTGAAGTGATGAAAATGTTTTACAACTTGATAGAGATGGTTGTTGCACAACATAGTGAAAATAGCGCTAGTGAATTACAAACTTCAAAGTAGTTAATTTTGTTATGTGAATTTCACCTCGATTTAAAAAAAAAAGAAAGGATGTTTATCCGGTAAGCACATCGTGAAGCCTGAAGTTATAGAATGGATTCCTGGCAGCCCAGGGAATGGTCAAGACTGAGAGTACAATAATGGATGAAGTTGAGAGTCACCCACTCTCCTCCCCTTGAACAATTACACCACCAAGGTGATATGCAGGAAAAAGCTCTGGGCTGGGATCACCATACTCTGTGTGTTGCTAAGATTGAACCCAGGGCCCTGGGTATGGCAGGTAAGCACTCTTATCGCTGAGCTAAACCTGCAGCCCTGGGCTGGAAGCAGAGCTCGCATCTGGACTTGTTTCTGGCCACTTCCCCAAAATAGAACCCCAGACCATTGAGGTTCCTTGAGTTTTGGGCTTCTTAGGTGCAGAATGGGGCTGATGCATCTTGTCTGTTTTCACCATACCACCGTGGATGAGGACCCTGCAAGCATCCTATGAACTCATCTTTCCAGGGTGAGGTAATCTACAGTCCAGCTAGCTATGGCACCCTGTTTTGTAAGCATGGCCAACTGAGAGGCAGTGCCTGGGTCATGGGAGATACTGATGAGGTTCAGAAGCCACTGATGAGGTAAGGGCCCTTACAAATCCTGGTTCCACCACTGTGTGGCTTTGGGCGTAACTGGCTTCTCCAGTAGTAAACAGGAATATCCATACCTACCTTGGAGAGAGGCTGTATTACACAGTGGATTCAATAATCAGATCCTCGTCCTTTCTTTGTGGCTGCTCCTAGCAGCACGGGGTGGGGGGGTGTAGTGGGGTGTGGGGGTGTAGTTCCGAGAATCTATGGCTCAGAGGTTAAAGCAGTAGCCTGAGACACAGTGTTTGGGTGTAAGAGCATTTATGTCCAACCTCCAGGTTCAGGAACATTCCTGAAACCTCATTCTCCTCAACAGGAGTTCGGGGACATCTTTTGTGCAGACATGATCTTTGAATCATCACCTCAGGAAACAGGTGCTGCTATCTCCCGAGTATAGGTTAGGAAATTGACCCAATTTAACTGAGGGTCAGAGGAGTCGAGCGACTAGCACTAGGACACACAACCAGAGGGCGCAGGTCTAAAATTTGAACTCAGGTTCTCCGCGGCGCCACGCCCGGAAGCCCCAGGGTGCGCGTGGCTGGGCGCGAGCTAAGCTCGCGGCAGTGGGAATCCCGAGCGAAGTTGGAAGCCGGGCCCGTTCATTTGCATGCTAATACCCAGAATGCTTTTCCCCACACACCGCTTCTTTTAATGGAAGCGCTCAGTTTGGAACCGTGGAAAGTTTGGAACACATACTTCGCTCCCTCTTTACAACTGTGGGAACTTCCCGCCTGCACATTGCTGCGCCTGCAACCCCAGGCTCTGAGCCGCGAGGCTCAACGGCGGCCGCCAGCGCTTCCTGGGCAGGCGAACCTCGGTGTCCAACCTTCGCTCGGCAGCACGAAGGGGACAAAGCGCCCAGGCCTAGCGGCGGGGCCCATGGCCAGAGCGCTTGGCGTCTCCCGGGGCTGGGTGCGCAGAGGATGCTCTGGGCTTGGGGAGGGCCAAGAGCGCTCCCGGAGTCATCCTATACTCTGACTTCCCTGGAGACTTCTTGGATGCGTTGGGGGCCCTGCTCCGGTTCTTCGCCCTCAAGGGCTGAGCTGGTGACTTCCCATTCCCCGAGGCACAAAGCTTGAGGAGCGGTGGTTTGGGGGAGAAGCTGGCCGCTGCCCTCATCTTCCCAGCTCTCCCGGGTGCGCAACCCATTCAATTCGGTTACTGCATGGGGTACAGAAGCAGCTACGGAGGTTCGGTCTACTCCCGGGGCAAGACCCCGGGCCCTCTCTGGGCTTGGAAGCTGGGAGGCAATCGCCGGCGACTGCTGGAGATTTCGCGCATCAAAACGGGGATACGAAGGGTATCGACGCCCGACCGACCGGCGGGTGGGTACCGCAGCCTGGGGGGCCCGGATCTGGACCCTTACGCCCCCACCCCGCTCGCTCGCTGCCACTCTCCGCGGGCAGGGGAGAGGTAGCAGGAGCTGGTTTGCTGGCTTGGCGCTACGATTGCATTGGTCCAGGGAGGGGGGACTGAGACTGCAGCCCCCGGACCTGCGGGCGGGGTGGGGAGGCGGGGGCCGG